AGCTCTGGGTGAGCCAAAATTCGAACCTGAGTTGTGGTAAGAGCGCTGAGGAAAGGCAGTGCAAAGCACTGAGGGAAAGTGAGTTTGTCTCAGCAGCAGAAAGCCTGCATAAATGAAGAGCAGGCTCCAGAGAACTTGAATTGTATTCCAAGTGTCACGGAAAGCAGCCTAACGGGGTCTTGCCGGGGAACAACGGAATTTGACTTGCATTTTTCAAAGATGGCTCTGGCTGCTGTGAAGAAGAGATGACTTTAAAACATGAAGGCAAATAAGGAGGTGTTTGTGGCAGTTTCCAGAGTAACAGTGCGGCAGCAGAAGTGGAGGAAGGCGAAAGGCAACCCTTGCAATGGATTGGCTGGTGGGTGAGGGATGACCTAGGCTTTTATCTGAAGCAATGAGAAGATTGTGGTGTTATTTGCTGTCATGCAGAAAGGGAGGAGGTATCCGTGACAGAGGAAGCAAATCAAAGGTTAAAACAGGAACATAGGCACCTTGGTGAGCTGATTTGAATACTTACATATTGAAATGTCTGCAAAGCAGAAAGGTTTCAAATAGCTCATGCTTCACACAAGTCAAGGTTTTGAGGGTCATTGCTGTAGTCACCTTGCCTTCTGCTGATCTTTATTTCTTTTTCTCTGCTGTTTCTACTCCCAGCTAGATATCTGCAGTCAAATCCTAGTTCCCAAGGGTTATCTCAGGCAGAAAAAAAAAAAAATCACCTCAGCAAACCTTTCCTAATATTACCAAAAACGGTTGTTTCCCATCGCTCTGCACTCCTGTCTCCATCTTCCAGCAGTTGCAACTCATGGTCCTGTGCTTTTCTACAGTTGCTCCTGTATCCCTTGAGAGGACGGAGGGAGCACTTCCATGCCCGACTCTGGTAGCATGACCTATGACCTAGAAATTAACATAGTCTGGCCTCGTTCCTCACGTACTCAGTCATTCGGGGCCAGGACCAAACAGAGGCAAAGAAGATATACACAAGCAAACATAAAACATGGCACCACGAAATCGCAGGGTCAAAAAAACAAGTGTATTTTTTTATTCTTCTATGTACTATGTATCCGACACCGCCTTCTTAAAAGACGGCACCAACAGAGAATGCTGTCACAGATCAGCCAGTCTATAACTTAGGTAAAAGTCTGTCAAAGCTGAGTATCTACTTCTCGAATGTGTGGGTACGTTCTCGAATACATGTGTGTGTAAGTATTATTGTTTCTGGTTATAGTTAAGATTTAAAGCATTCTTTAATTACATTGCCTTACACATTAATTACATTGCCTTGCACAATTAGCATTAAATAGGCAAAGCACGGTCAACGTCAGTGTGACATGGGACCTTTGGACATGCTAAGAACCAATTTGGCAGGGCGGGGGGGGGGGAACAGGGGGCGTGGTGGAACACATCTTAAACCCCAGCACTCCAGAGGCAGGCAAATCTCTGTGCATTCAAGGCCAGCCTGGTCTACACGGTGAGTTCTAAGGAAACCAAGGTTACATAGAGAGACTTTGTTTCAAAAACAACAACAACAAAAGGACCAACTTGGGGCTTACACTGTAAAATGAAAATTCAACCCCCACCCCCCTTACTCACAACCTCTTTTCTTTATTCTTCTTCCTTCTTTTCTTTTCTTTCCTTTTCAATACATAGTCTCACCGTCTAGTCCATGCTGGCCTCAAACTCATGATGTTTCTGGCTCAACCTCCCCAGTGCAGAACCAAGATCAAGTTGACATAACAAGTCAAGGACACTTCCTCTGTAACAGCAAACACAAGAGCTGCCAGCATGAGCTAGGTGCTGACAGAACTACTGGCCGAGTCCTTACCACTGGCAAACTGTGGGAAATGGTGATTTCTGCACGTCTCTGTGTTTTTATCCCAAAAAAACAATCACTGCTACACAGAGAGACCCTGTCTCGAAGGTGCACAAGGCTCAAGAGATCCCCAGGGGCTAGAGAGATGGCTCAGAGGTTAAGAGCACTGGCTGTTCTTTCAAAGGTCCTGAGTTCAACTCCCAGCAACCACATGGTGGCTCATAACTATCTATATTGAGATCAGGTGCCCTTTTCTGGTGTGGGGTCATGCAGGCAAAATACTATATAAATAAATAAATCTTTAAAAGAGAGAGAGAGAGATCCCTAGGCTCAACTCTTGCAAAGTGTCTGAACTTCCTGTGTGTGTGAATATTCACTCCAACCTTTCTGGATCACTTTTTTTTTTTCACCCAAATTACTGTTCTCTGATCCTTATTGAGTTCCTATAAAACTGCTTTTCCAAATGGGTGGCTCCCTGGAGCACACGTGCCAAAGTAGAAAATGCACTCAAAATGAGTTCTCTTCTGACCCCCACTTTAGCTCCATGACTTGCCTGCACACACACCCCTCAAGCATGATAAACAAATGAATAAATAAATAAATAATAAGTAATAAAATAATCAAAATAATCAGTCATTTCAAAATTACTTTCTCGGTAGGGTTGAACAGAAGCGTATATTTGTCAATTTCCCAACATGCAGACCGTCCGTTGAAGCACTCCTCAGGAACTTGTGAAATGGGGGATTTTGCTTGCCAGAAAGAACCACTTCCTTTGTATACCAAGTCACGTATCAAAGTCTGTGCTGGCCTCCAGGCTCCTTGGGTCCTTATTCACCTGTACCTGTTAGGCATTTCAAAGCCCATGCTGGCACCCTGGCCCTTCTCACCCCCTCCTCTACACCCAGGTTGCTTCAGTACACAGGCTCCTCCCCTCAGCTGTTTGGGTTCCTTATAACCCTCATGATTTTCCCACCTCTGCTTCTCTAGCCCTGGCCATGCCAGTGTGCTGCTTTCTCTCTCTGCTCTGGACTCTGGTTGTTCTCTCTCTCACACTCTCTCTTTCTTTCTCTCTCTCTCTCTCTCTCAATGTTACATGCATTGGCATCTTGCCCACATATATGTCTGTGTGAATGTGTCACACAGATAGTTCCCCTGGAACTGGAGTTACAGGCAGGTGGGAGCTGCCAGGGATTTGAACCTGGGTCTTTGGAAGAGCAGCCAGTGTTCTTAATGGCTGAGCCATCTCCCTCTCTCTCTCACCTAAAATAAACCCCTCTCCCCACTGACGGGGAGCACCCATTTCAGTGCTTTATTTACTGGGCCCTCACAGTGACAACTACCTGAACAAACTAACTTGAAGGAGCCGGGATTCAGTTTCCCCGTTGTTTCAGAAGTCTGAGCCCGGGGCTGGCTGTCTCTGCTGTACTGGCCTGTGGTAAAGCAGGACACTTTGGGAGTCTGTGATGGAAGTCTGTGATGGGTGAATCTGATGACCTCCTGATAACCCAGAGGCAAAAAGGATGATGAGCCAGGGATGAACAGGCTTCCCAGGAAAACCTCCTGTGACACACTTTTTTAAAATATGTCTTACCTCCTACTTTCCACCACCTCTCAATAATCAAATTGTGACTCCATCAATGAATTAATTCATTGGTTAAGTCATAGTCTCAGGAACCAAATCACTCTCCAAAAGCCCAACTTCTGACCCTTGCATTGGAGACCACACCTTCAACACATGAGCCCTGGGATGGGGACGCACTTTATATTTAAACCACAGGAAGCATTCTCCTTATGCTGTTGCGTCAGTTTAACTAGGATCTTCCCTGTTGGGAAAACTGAGCTCCTTCAAAGTTCACTTTGCTTGTGTGGCACTTGGCATGGGTGTCCACACTCCGGTCTGGTCAGCTGGGGAGTCTCCTCGAGTGGGAGGCCAGTCTGGAAAAAAAAAAAAAAAAAAGCCTTCTATAAATTTTGATGCTTAATAAAACCTCTCAGAAATGGGAAGTGCTGACTACCTGTTACTCACTGTGAGGTTGTCTGAAACAGGAATCCTTGATAGGCAAGGCTGTTGTGTTAGATTGTGTGATAAGAATTAGTGCCAGAGCCGGGCGTGGTGGTGCACGACTTTAATCCCAGCACGAGGGGAGGCAGAGGCATGTAGATTGCTGTGAGGCCAGCTTGGTCTACAAAGTGAGTCCAGGACAGCCAGAGCTACACAGGGAAACCCTTTCTCGAAAAACAAAAACAAGAACACGAACAAAAATAAATAAATAAAAAGAAAAAAATAAGAGTGGGGAAAATCCTGATAATCTCAGTTTGATCCCTGGAATCTTAAAAACAAACAAAACGGCAATACCAAATGATGTGGTGCTTGATAACTGTCATCCCAGAACTCCTACGAGATGGGAGGTAGAGACAGGAGAATTGCCTGGAAGCTCACCTCTAGGCAGGACAGCCGGAACAAGAGACAAGGCCATTTCAACAGATGGAAGGTGAAAGAAGAGCATTTCAAATGCTGTGCTCTGACCTCCACAAGCCTGCTGTGCATACAGGTACACAACAGAGAGGAACGGGAAATGGCGATGATAATAATTCATATTAAAATACACACTGCCAGTGTTCAGTCTGATACAGAAAACAAATCACTACAGGGCTAAGGATACAGGTCCATAGTAGTGTTCTCACCTAAGATTCACTGGCCATGGGTTCAGTCCCTAGCACCTTGGGGAGAAAAGGAGAGAGGGAAGAGAAAGCGAACGAGAAATGACTGGAAACCCGGCGTCTTTAATCCCAGCACTCAGGAGGCAGAGGCGGAAGAGTACAAAACCATCCTACGAAGTGAGCTCCAGGACACCCGGGACTACATAGAGAGACCGGTCTCAAGAAACAAACAAGCAAAGAGCAGTCTGATCAGGTCTGCGACTCCAGGCGGTGAGTGCTTTCTTGTTTACTACAGTGAAAGAAGAAAATCAGGTGTAATAATCAGAAATCTTTGCCGGGCAGGTAACACCAGTCAACCGCCGCTTGAATCACACCTTCTCCTTCAAGCGGTAGCTACAATCAGCCCATGGGAGGGAAAGGACCAACCCTATTTGGTAAGAGATGGCTTATAGCCACTTCTGCCTGAATTATCATAGCCAATGAGAACAGAGGGATCTGCTCTTTGGACCTGAGGCTTCCCCTGAAAGCTGATCAGTTCTCCCCTCCTCAGAGCCTCCACTTGGAGTAAGAGTCAACCTCAAACCACAAGACACTTCCTGCTCCGAAGCTTTTTAACTGTAAGTACCTTTTTATTAAGATCTTCTTTAAACAAGGTGGGAAGCTTCCTTTAAAAGTGTTTTCATGGTTTTGTTTGATTCCTGACATAGTTTGAGATTCTGCTGAAAGATCAGGGGTTTCTTCCCTGATTGCTTTAAACTCAGTGATTTCAGTGAAACTCAGTTACAGGGCAAACATTTCGCTAAGAGATGTGCCTTAAGAGACCCCTCAGCTGGAATACTCTCCGGGGATACTGCCAATGGCGGAGTGCCATTTCACGTGCTTTCCTAACTTAGTCCTTCCTCCTCTATCTACCGGAGCTGGTCTAGTTTTGTTTTGTTTTGTGTTTCTGGTTGTGTGTGTGTGTGCATGAAAAATATTTATTTGTTTAAACTACCTAATAAAACTAGATGGGATTTTTGTGGGTTTAGTTTGTGGAGCTTGAGAATCCTTAGGAATTCTCACTCGTTATGAAATCAATAATCTGACTACTCCAGAAATTTAATTCTGCTATTCACTGATGTGCATAAAGAGAAACCACCTTTCACATCTCGCATTTGATAGCTCACGAGGCAGAACATTGTGTGATGAGTGTTTCAGTCAAAACCGAAAAAGAAATTTAATACCAATATATAATAGAGAGAAGAAAATCTAAGCATATATTGCTTAGAACCTGGGTTGATCGATATTAACAAGATTTATTAACATAATCAGTGTCATGCAACATAATTTTGTTAAGCCAGTGTATTTGTGCTTCTAAGGAATGGGGCTTTCTGAGGCAGAAATGTAACTACAAGAGTGAGTCTAAGACTAAGAGATAAAATTAAGATGGTCAGTATGAGAGCCAGAACCTACCAGATTTCCTGGCCGAGACCATTTCCTGCAAAGAAACCTCTAAAGGAAGGTATGGGCCGTGTCACTCTTCAAAGCTTGTCTCAGATTCCCACTTCAGTCTCCTCATCTCCATTTTTTTCTTTTCTTCCCGAGTGCTCTCCCCCAGCACAGCTTTATCACTCTCTCTCCCGTTGTGCATTCAAAGGCGAGGTACAAGGCAGAGCTCAGAGCCAGGTTGCTCCCACGGACAGGAAACTACAGGTATCCTTTTGGCCCATAACAACTCTTATCCCAAGAGTTTTACACACGCCCATGGGGTCTATACAACTTTTCCTAATGGACTTGTAGCTCAGACGGGAAACGGACAGACCAGAGGTTAGGAGGTCTGCAAGTCCCTGGGGTGGGAGGGTGGGAGTCTCCACCCGGATCCGGGGACTTACGTCACCAGGCAGTTACAAACGTGAGCGGATGCTGCTTGTGCTCCGCAGCCATGTGGGAGGCCCAGGCAGGGACTGTGCGTGCCTGGGGAAAGGAGCGCCTTTTTTTTTTTTTTCCTAGTTCTCATCAAAGCAGCCACGTGCCTTTGTGGAGACACCCGGGCTGCAGCCCCCGAGAAAGCTGATGATTATAAGTTCCCAGACCCTAGACTAATTACAGCTTTCCAGAGGAGTGACCAGGACTCTACTTGGCCTGCTTTTGAGGCAGGCCTGGCAGAAAGGAAGACATTCTAAAGAGACCCTGCGTCTCAGCCCCATTATCAGACCACTGAAACAACAGAGCCCCAAAGAGACCTTGCCCAGGATTGTCGCCCTGGGAGAAGGGGAACCCGCCTCTAGTCAGAGGAGGGATTTGTCTCTGAGGAAGGGGTTCTGCAGTCGTGACAATTTGTGAGAGCGCCTCACGGGCCACACTCCAAGCCTTCAGCTTAAACCTTAGTCTCCCTTCGGGGAGGACAGATCTGTGAATTGAGGGGCTGAGGAGGAGGAAGGAGGAGTTTCCGGGTTTCTTGGTCCTGTTTCTGCTTTCCATAAATTTGGCTCTTCGTTGGCTTGTTGAGGATGAGTGGGCCAACATGGTTTGGGGCACAGGCTGTGACACAAGCCCCCCCCCCCAAGTTCGGTACCAAACTCCGAGGACCACCGAACCGGCACAGATGTTGGCACAGCATTAAGCAGAGGCCAAGCAGGTTTATTTGGGGTTGTTTTTTTTTCCCCCCTTGACTTCCTGGTGACCTTTCATTTCAGATGACTAAGTCTAAAGCCTGCCGCATCTTGAGTGGAAGCCAACGGGGCGAGGGCGGGAGTCGGGGCTGGTGGTTGGGACGGTCTGCCTTGCGGCTTACATTTCGTTTTAACTTCAGTTGTTGACAGGATCCGGCGGCTGCTGCTGCCCAGGAGCGCTGGGTGAGAGTGTTTGCCGCCTTCCCTCGGTGTTTCGTGGTTAGTTCTTCCGCTGGTGGGGTTTTAGCGGGCAGCACACTGAGGATTAGGGGCAGGGCAAGGTCCTGCCCAGCATGCTTCTTGACTGGGCTCCGCTTTTCCCCTTCAGGCCCGCTTCTTGGCTCTTTGTAACTGTGGAGGAGGTATTTCTCCTTGGAAAAACGCGGGCCAGACGCTGTAAGACCCCGTTCTGAGGAAGCCGAAGGTGGCAGGCAAATGGCAATCCTGGACAGCTAGTTCCCTCTTGGACTGCTCTTCTAGAGCATCCTTCCCCGCAGCTGTGGACAACCTGAGATAAGCTTATCTCAGTATTCAAAGCCTCCTGCCGCCCTCACCCCCACCCCCGCTTGCCAACGCTTCCGGAAATGCGGTCCCCACATTTTCCCAACTTCAAAAGAGGAAGTTAGCTGATCGACTTGACTTGTGTAACACGCAGGATGCCTTAGGTGAAACCCCTACTACCACAGAGAGAGCCAAGAGAGAAGAAGAAATCCATACTGAAAGAAACATGCAGCATTTTAGTTCATTATTTTATTTGTAATTTGATTTTGTCTGTGTTAGAAATAGGAAAAAAAAAAAAAACTTACAATGCCAAAGGGACTGGGGAAATAATACTCCGGTGCTCGTGTGTGTGTGTGTGTGTGTGTGTGTGTGTGTGTGTGTGTGTGTTCAAATTCCCCCGGGGTTAAGCAAATGAAAAAGATACAAGCTTTTGTTATGGTTATTATTACAATATTTTTTCTCCTGCCTCCACCTCCCAAATGCTAGGACACATCACCACACCTTGTCTGGTGATGCAGCTTAGACTGGCTGATAACTGTTTAGGGCACTATTAGAGGAAAGAAAACCTTTTGCCAGAAAGGCTGCTCCTTCACACACTCGTCTGCTATTTATCAGATGGCCGGGAGTAGACAGACTAGAGCCCAGGGGTAAAGTGTGAGCTGTGGATGACAGCTTAATCCGTTTAAAGGTGTTAGTCTCTGACTTGACTTTTTTTCCCCCCTGCTAAAGGAGAAAAACTATCTTAAGATTTCATTATTAATCAAATAAATATTAGTTCTAATCTCTTGTTGCCGTTGCTGTAGCGGAAGTCCAACCCAGGGCCTCCCACATGCTGAGGGAATGACCTACCACGGATCTGTCTCCCGGCCCTAACAATTTCCTCAACACTACTGTGAAAATAATAAAGCACAAAGATAAAAGTGAAAAAATTATCAGCAGCTCGCCCCAAGGTAACTGCCCAGTGTTATTAGCCTTTCATACTCTTCCTGGCATTTGTCTATTCAAAGGCAATGCAAAATGAAGTTGAATACACGTGCTTTTCTGTTTTCTCAACTGCTTTGCTCTCAAGGCATTGCGGTAAGCCATCTCTCAGAATAGGATTTCTGGCATTATACAGTGTTGGGGTTTGGAGGTGGAGGGAAGCTCTGGAGGAGCTGTGGGGAGGGGACAGTCCTGGGAAGCTTGGACTCAACCACTGCTAAGGGGTGGCCTGTCCACTCACCAGTGGGTGGAATTCACCCTGCGCAGGGCACAGAGCGCATCCCCAGCAGAGCGGGAAGAGAGAACTTCCTAGCGGGAGGTGATGAGACCCCTTCCAGGGTCCGGCTACATTGTCCAAGTCTCACATCAGTACACACTGCTCACAAAAACACCTGCTCTTCTTAACTGTGAAAAAGGTCGGCAACAAAAACTGAATTATCGCAATGCCTTTACTTTCCCTGAAACTGATGAAATGCATTTGGGGAGCAGCTGTTGCATCACTTAGAGCACATGAAAAAGTTGGAAGATGGGTGCTCGTGTGGGGTTTAGGTGGTAGGATCACGCTGTGGGGCACAGTTGACACGGTACTTGCCTGGCAATGCAGGACGCCTCGGATCCAATCTCCAGCACAGGAGCCAGGGCGAGAGTTCCCAAAGTTCAGTGTTATCCTTGGCTACAGACAGTTTGAGGGGGCATAATCTATATAAAACCCTACTTCACAAAAAAAGAGAAAAGAAAGCTTGGTTGCTCAGGGAACATAGGGACAAGGCTTCCCGAGAGATTTCTGGGGTTGTCCATCAGGTGTGGGCCACAACAGTTATAAATTTCAGATGAAGGGCTTTTCTGGCCAACCACATGCTGCTAGTCATGGGTCATCGGACCTTCTGGGTTCCGCAAATCCAAACAAAGTTTAGATTAGCATGACTTATGACGTGGTCTTAGCCCCTTTCCTGGAATAGCTAGCTCTGTGGTTAATCATCAGGGAACAAGAGGCATTGTTCAGGTTGCTGAGAGACAGAGAGACATTTTTCTTTCCTGATGTGGTCACTGGCTGGTTACCCAGGCTCCCATGAGTAACCCTAATTAAACCCAATCTCTCTCTTTCTGTCACACACACACAGTGGAGGGGAGAGAGAGATGACTACACACAAACATGAGCTCATAAAATTGCAGAAGAAAGGAAGGAAGGAGGAGAAGGGAAGAAGGAAGAGAGGGAAGAAGGGGGAAAGAGAGAGAGAGAATACTCCAAAAGCAAAGGTCCATAAAATGCAGGCTTTTCATCGCTTGAACCTGCTGGGTGCTTCAGTCCCAGCTGCTTGTCAACAGCAAAGCTAGTTTGAAACCACTAACATGCAGGCCAGCTGTGTGACCTCCACAATTAGTGAATTTTTGACATGAACTGAAAGCAAGAGCGGGAAGTTTATTTATCTTTCCCTGTCTGTAAAGCTGCTGCCCTGATGAGCGTTCCTTACCAAATGAGTATAGGTGGCCATTAAATTGGCCTTTGGCTTCCGGTAGCATCTCCAGTTCCTGGTTCCTCTTCCAAACCATTCCACTGTGGCTTACATTGAACAAGGAATAAATCTCTTAATTGATGTTTTGTTGGTGTTGTGCTTTGGCATTCTTGTTACTTAGTCATATCTGTTTTGGATTTACACAGCCTCCCTATAGCACAGACTGGTTTCAAAGTCACAACTTTCCTGCCTCAGCCTGGATCATGTATGTACCACCTACCCCTCCAGACTCAAGCTGACTTTTGATGTTGTTGTCATGAAACAGGATCCCCTGTGGCCCAGGCTGTCCTCGAACTCGTTACATACCTGATGGCTCTGGACTTCCGATCCTCCTGCCTCTGTCTCCTGGGTTACTGGCCTGTGTGTGCCACCATGCCCAGTTTTCTGCAGTGCTGGGACCCAGGGCTTCCTGTGTGCTAAGCAAGCACTATTCCAACTGAGCTACATTCCCAGCTCTCTTCAAGTTCTATCCTTCTGGCATCTGTGGGATGTTGCCTATGGCTCATGGACCAGGTGGGGAAGCATCAAGCCCACCTGGCCAGACCCTTCAGCACTGCTTCCTGGTGGGCCAGATCACAGTGGGCACATGTGATTGGCTGTCTGACAGGGGATCGAGGAAACTGTCTTTATGGCCAACCCCAAGACAGAGAGATGGTCAAGATTAGTTGCTTTGACTTTGGGGAAGTGAAGTTCCAGTCTCTAAGACTCATTTTGAAGAGGGAATAATAAGCCACCAGACGTAGAAATTTAAAATATCTCTAATAATGTCACAGACTCTACCCATCTGTCTTGCCTACCATAAGCTCCTGTGATATATGCCAAATGGTGGTCTTTTATTTCTGTTATTCCTCCTATACTCATGAACTAGAACTTCCCAACAAAGAAAGCACCATCCTTTCTCTCTAATTTAAAATGTTGTTTATTTATCTATACTAGTATTATATAGATATGACACAGATCATAAGAGAGAGCTACAGATAGTTCGTTCTACGAGTTATAATCCATTAATAGCATTACTTTCATTCAAATTTGTCTTAAATTTGGCCATCAAATTTCCTCCGAAGTCTCCCCCATGACCGACTCAGCAGTGGTTCATGTGATACGCTCTACTCTTGAAGCCCATTCTCTTCTGCCTGGTACTGAGAGCCCTGGGCTCAGCCTTCTCTTTTTATAGAACAATGAATGACATTTGGTAATCAAGATTTGGTACTAGATATGCCCTCTCTTTGGACATAAAGAGAACTTATCTTTATACACAGCTATCACATCTACCTGTTTATCTACATGGGCTCGTAAACTTGCTTATCATGTGGCTTCCTGAGTCCTGGCACCTGCTCTGATGATTGTTAGTTTTAGTTTTTTACACAGCATCTTACTGCATTGCCAGTCCAGAACCTTGATGATCTTCCTGCTTTGGTTCCCCAGGAGCTGTCTGCTCTGAAATTCTGCTCATCTTTGGGTCCTCCACCAGCATGTTCATAAGCCTCCCGGGGACCTCACAGTTTGCGGTTTCTGAGTTAACCCAGTCACATACTCAGCCCAGTGTTTACTGAATACCTCAAGCTGTTCTCACAGGAGGCAGTTGACCCCTCTCCTGAGTGCGCTGACCAAGCTTTGGTGCTAGAGACCAACCCTGGGGCCCTGCAGGGCTGCCCAGTCGCCACCAACACCCAAGCCCCTCGTGGTTTCAGTTTTGCCTAGCAGATAGCATTTCTTCTTTACTGTTCGAGCATCTTTTTATATATTTAAGCTTTTTTTCTTCATTTCTTTTGTAAACTATTTGGTTCTGACTTTTCACCATTTTCCTAACCCTGAGACTTCTGACCCTCTCACACTGGATATATTTTTTGAAAACATTCTCAGTGTCAAAGTTTGTACCCTTTCCCCTACGTTACAAACTACACAGTATTTTCATACTACACTCAGTAACAGGAAGAGAAATTTACTGAGCATGACGATAGTCAACAGATAAAAGACCATGGTAGCCCTCTTTTTCTTTGGCTTTCTCTCTGCCCCACCTTGACCCTTTTCTTACAGGTAGGGTCTCACTACAGCCCTGGCTAGCCTGGAACTCACAGAGATCTGTTTGCCTCTGCCTCTTAGGTGCTTGGGTAGAAGGAATGCAGAGATTAAAGGTGTGCCCAGCCTGCCTCTTTTTTTTTTTTTTTTTTTTTAAATAAACCAGTTTTATCTTCCTCTCTAATAACCAAACATTGTTTGCTAAGATTTGGGGGGGCCCGACTGATTTATAATTAACTATACTGAATCAGCATGCGCAGATTTAGACATGTTTAAAGCATCCTTGAACATTTCTGGTCATGTGGAGAAACAGCTGAACATATCCATCCTGTAAGGTTGTTCTTGGCATCATATACTGCTCTCTTTTTTCATTCAAGGAAACTACTAAGTTAACACATGCTGCAAGTGTTGACATCTAGAAAGAACAAAACAAACGTGACTGGGGAAATAAAAAACTCCTAACTGGTGTGAAAAGATAAAGGCAAATGGCCCATCTCTCATAGTGTTCTTTCTATTTAGGAGATGATCTCTTTTTGTGGCCTTGGCTGTCATGGCGCTCACTATGCAGACCAGGTTAGCCCTGAATGTACAGAGATCCCTCCACCCACCTCTACCTCCCAAGCACTGGCACTTAAAGGTGTTCACCACCACGACCAGCCCTTTGCACTTTTTAAGATATGTACCGAATTCCTAAATAGAAATGCCCAGCAGCATTACTGCCTAATTCTGTGAGACTGTTATAATACCTGCTGTGTGCCTAACACTGAACTTGATGCTGCAGAGAATGGGAAAAGAGGAAGGAGGCTGAGGAGGTGGCCCCACAGGTGAGTGGGATGACCTGAGTTCGATCCCCAGCATCTGAGTAAAAAGGCATGGCTGTATACACCTGTAACCAAAGCCCTACAGTGGGGTGGAAACAAGAGAGATGGCTGGGGCTTGCTGCTCAGGTGACAGGCCCAGAAGCAAGGGAAGGAAGGGGAGAAATGGAGCAGGTCACCTGGCACCCTCCTCTGGCCTCCACAGGCACATGCAACTGCACGCATGCACACGGTATGTACAATACACACACACACACACACACACACACACACACACTTTTTTAAATAAGAAGGGGGGGTTTCCAGTTCTCCAAGAGCTCTTCGTAGACCGGGCATCATCAGTCCTGAGTAAGTTTCACGGCAGTATGTGAAAGCAGGGCTCCTAGGCAGAAACCAGAGGATTTGAATTTCACAATTTACTCAGCTTCCCCCCACCGCCCCTGACACACACAGTCACTGTTTTCTTATTAACTCAGTAAAGACCATAATTTCCAGTGGCTGGGCTGAGTAAATAGATAATGCAGGTCTAAGCCACGCCGGACTCAGTGCGGAGCCCTTCCTGATGGAGCCAACATCGTTGCCAACAAGGGTGCGTGCAGATCAACAATAGACACATCCCTGCCAGATACTCTCCTTTGTATCTGTATCTGTATCAGTTGCCCACTAAACTCTAGGCAATGCCCTCAGTGCTTGGGTGAGCTGGCCATGGCACCACCTGCCTGTAAGTCCAGCCTTTGGAAGGCCTGAAGCAAGAGGACCATGAGCTTGAAGCCAGCCTGGGCTACATGGTGAGACCCTGACTCAGGAAAACAAATAAACATCGACAACAACAAAACCACAATAGAAACCCGGTTAGGGTGATCGTAAGGACTTGTCAGTCCCTGCCACGGGTCGGGGGCTAGCAGCACTGACGGAGCAGGCCCTGCCGAGTCAGAAGTGATGGGGCAGCTTGGATTCAGCAGAGTGCTGTGAAACCCCAAAAGAGGCTGAGCAAGACAGGGAGGAGGGTAGGAGTGCAAGCCTAGGCTGCACGGTTTGAGAAGACAAAGGGTTCCCTGACCCTACCTCTGTCACAGCCCAGTCATTTATTCCCTGCCTCCTGGACAGCAGGTACCGCTCTAAAAATAGCACACCATCAACCCTGTTTCAGTTCTTTCACCCAGGAGAGACACCTGTTCACCTCACCAGTTCAGTCAGCTCCTTTCCCCTGAGGCCTCTGTACCCTCTGAGGTGGAGACTGAAATGCCTAGCGATCAACAAGCTGCTTTCTCCAACCTCATCTGCCCCTGGCCAGTGCAGCACCCCACTTCACTGAGGAGCAGAACACAGTGCCTTCCCGGAGCAGCTGCAGGCTGCAAATGGCAACGTTGTCTTTTTCAGGCTTTTGAGACCTCACATTGAAGATGGCTCAGGCAACAACAGTCGTCGTGACTCAACCTGGATTTGTTCGTGCTCCTCAAAATTCCAACTGGCAGACCGGCCTGTGTGATTGCTTCAGCGATTGCGGAGTCTGTAAGTGTGGGGAAGGTGTCCTCATAACTGATACAACACCTCACTCCTCCCTTACTGTGTTGGAAGTTGTTAACTTATTACAGGCGCCTGGGAATCTGGGGATGGTACAGCCTACTGATCATAGCTGGTTCTCCTCCAGCTGGCTGTCCTGGAACTTGTTCTGTAGACCAGGCTGGCCTCAAACTCCAAGAGATCCACCTGCCTCTGCCTCCTGAGTGCTGGGATTACAGGCGTGCATGATTTTTTCCCAGCAACATGATTTTTTTTTGTAAACTTGTTTATTTTTATTGTATGTTCATTGGTGTTTTGCCTGCATGTATGTCTGTATAAAGGTGTTAGATCCTCAGGAACTGGAGTTACAGACTGTGTGAGCTGCTATATGGGTGCTAGGAACTCAACCCTGATCCTCTGGAAGAGCAATCAGTGCTCTTAACCACTGAGCCATCTCTCCAGTCTCCTAAACCTGATTTTTTTTTAAAGGGCAACAGCAACAATATCTCTTCTTAGTTACACAAATATTAAATCTTGTTTTATAGTTACACTGTGTCCAGTCAGAGAGAGTTTGTACACACCATCAGAGAGCAATTTTAATCTGTACAGCTAAGTCTGTCTACATGCAGTAAGATCTCTCTCTAAGTGAACTTGGAAAGAAGTGAGATGGGTGGCAAAGGGGGCCAGGGGCTTTGTTCTCAGCAAATCAGGAGCAAAAGGTTTGCTTTGAAGCCTGTCCCTAAGAACGGTAAGGAAATACAAGCTTTGGCTCGCAGTAGAATGGAACTTGGGACTGAATGAGCTAATACTCGCTTGGAGAACACAGCCAGAGCGAATTCCCCGTGAGTTTGCTCACTGCCTTTCCAGAATGTAGCAGGCAACAGGCGCTGAGTGACTAACGTCTCTCACAACATTATTTTGACATCTGAAAATCAAAGTGATAGTGACGGCTACAATAGTCAAATTCCCCAAAGATGAACGTTCACTCTCCCAGCCCCAAGTTGCTACTCAATTATTTGAATGGACAATTACTTGGATATATGAATTTTAATGTCGGGCCACCAGGATGGGTCAGTGGGAAGAGTGCCTGTGGCCTAGCCTCACAGTTCAGTTTCCCACATGGTGGAGGGAGAGGTCCATTGAAAATTATCCTCTGACCTTCACACATGCACACACTACATAAAATATAATTTTAAAAGGGGGGTGTGTTCTAAATCAGCCTTAATTGTTTTGTGGGAAGTTTTCTTTTTTCTTTTTCCTTTATTTGTTTGTTTGAGACAGGGTTTCTCTGTGTAGCCCTGGCTGTCCTGGAGCTTACCCCGCCTCTGTCTCTCCAGTGCTGGGATTAAAGGCGAGTGCCACCACCATTCGGCTTATGACAGATTTTCCCTCTTTTCTTTCTTTTTCTTTTTTCTTTCTTTCTTTCTTTCTTTCTTTCTTTCTTTCTTTCTTTCTTTCTTTCTTTCTTTTCTTTCTTTCTTTCTTTCTTTCTCTTTTTTTTTAAAGATTTCTTTATCATGTATACAGTGTTCTGTCTGCATGTACACCTGCATGACAGAAGAGAACCAAATCTTATTATAGATGATTGTGAGCTGCCATGTGGTTGCTGAGAATTGAACTCAGGACCTCTGGAAGAGCAGCCAGTGCTCTTAACATCTGATCCATCTCTTCAGCCCCCACAGCAGATTCTTTTAAAAGCAGATCTGACCAAATCAATCTCCTCTTACAAAATACTTGTTGATTCTTTCTGGCCTTGATGGCGTATGTAATCACTCCTAGTTTGTCACCACACACACATACACACACACACACACACACACACACACACACACACACACGCAGGCCTATGCCACCCCCTAACTCCACTCCCATCCTCTCCTAGGACCTTGGTTACAGTGAATGGATATGACAAATTGTCTCAGACAGGCTTTATTCCCTTTAGCCCACATTTAAAACTTTTTCTAAGCATGCTTCACTGTTCACAGCTCACCCAGTTCTTCCTACTTAGGGCCTTGTAGACGCCACTCTGAAGTGACCTGGGCGTGCTAGGCTGGTTCTGTCCTGAATGTTCTTTCCTTTTTTATCCCTGTTGAATTTCAGTTGGGGACATTGCCAGTACCGAGGGTTTTTACCTGGAACGTGGGTAGGCTTCCGTAATTTCTACGTGAGTGGCACTGCGGCAGAAAGGGCCAGGTCACGTCCACGTGCAGTCGCTCTTGAAAGGATGTGTGCTGGGGGAGGAGAGGGGCCCCGTAATGAAGTCCCACCCACACAGCGAAGACAGATGCAGCAGAGGGGAAAGGCCTTGTGACGGGGCTGCTCTTGGTAGAGCCGACCGAGCAGGCTAGAGGAACTTGTATCTTTTCTTGTCTTTGCAGGCCTCTGTGGGCTGTTTTGCTTTACGTGTCTCGGATGTCAAGTGGCAGCCGACATGAATGAATGCTGCTTGTGTGGGACGACAGTGGCAATGCGGACCCTCTACCGAACCCGATACGGCATTCCCGTGAGTCTCTTTCTCTCTCCCTTTTTCAGTCATCCCAGTTTGCTACCGTATTTACCTCAGCTCTTAGGAATGGCTGCCACTTGACAGCATCCAGGCTCGGGATTTGGTTGGCTAGAGTTTTTGTAGCAGGTACAACCTTGGGTTCCATGGACACAGCAGTCAACCTTCTCCTTTTGTGCCCTCCATTCTCTAGAGCAGGAGATTCATGCTTGCAGTGTGTGTGTATAGCGCAACCCAGAAAGAATTAGCTAGAAGCTGGCGTGCATTAGGTGATTCCACCATCCTTGCGATGCCTGTGTGTGCTGTGGGGGAGGGGCGGCCGTATTTTACCAATGAAGACTTCAGAGTTTGTAAGGGGCAGAGTTTATGACCCAGAGATGTACCGTAGTAGCAGAGAGAGGCGACACAGCCAAGCCAAACTATCCGCGCATGCGCTTTGCTCTGTGCCTGCATCACTGTATAAAATGGGATAGCCTTTTAATCAGGGTTACGGGGAGAAGCAGTCAACAGGGTGAGTAGATGTATGTGTATACGTATTTCCAGAGATCATCAGGAAACGCACATTTTATATATATTTATGTATCTATTCACTTGCTTCCCTCTGTGTGTGTATATATAGAGACAGAGATAAAGAAAGAGCAAGAAAGAGAGAGAGAGAGATTTGTTTTAAAGTCATGCAGCGGAAGCCATTAAGTCCAAACCTTGAAGTGTAAGCTATCAAGCTGGATATTCATGAATGAATTGACATTCAAGTCCATAGGCAAATTACGAGGAGGATTCTCATCCAAGGGAAACCCTTCCTCCTCCTCCTCCTCCTCCTCCTCCTCCTCCTCCTCCTCCTCCTCCTCCTCCTCTGCCGTCTCCTCCTGCCCTCCTTTTCCTTCCCCTCCTCCTCTTCCTCCTTCTTCTGTCTTCAACCAGCTGAGCATGGTCTCACACCCATCAGAAATTTTAGGATTTGGGAGATTGAGGTAGGAAGATTGGGAGTTTGAGACTGGGCTGAGCTACATAGTGCAACCCCATCAGAAAGAAGGGAAGGAAGGAGGAACAGGGGTTAAACTATCCAACAAATTTGACCAGAAATGAATGACGGAGGTGAAAATCGAACCTTTTGAGAACCAGATCTACTGCCTAACAATCAACAATAACTTGTGTGTATCCTCTTGAGACGTGTTTCTATCCTTGTAAACTCATAGAAAAACGTAGCCGTACATGCTGTTGGTTTGTACATTGACAGTCTTGGAGGAATACTTGGCTGTATCTCTCTAGTGTCAGCACCCACTGTCCTACAGCCTGGAGGCCCACATGAGGAGGCTATGGGTTTGGACATCCTGCGCTGGTGTCCCAGGAGAAATGGAGCGGCTCTGGCAGCCTCCCACCTCCCCTGTTCCTCTGCTGAACTTGGGGTTTATCTAGTGAAGAGTCCTCACCCCTGGCCCCATGGCAGCTTCTGGTTGTGAGTTCTGTGACTCGGCTTAACCTTCTCCTCCATGATTGCAATCCCAGCCCCAAATTGCTCTGGATTTCCGGCCTTACTAAAGGCCACCACCGCCTGTTTCCTAGCCTTGAAGCAATTTGTTCTTTAAATGATCTCATTTTATGGACTGTGAAGAGAAACAGTCATTCTCTAGCTTTCTTCACCTATCTGGCCCTTGACAAGAGCAAGTGTGTGCGTACTTTGAGTATTCGCTCCTCGATGTGGGCTTTACCTATGAACCTCACAGAGCCCGGCTCTGGTCCCGAGTCCCCTGCTGGTTCCCAGCCCACTTCCTCCTACACAGCTCCCTGTACCTTTGGCTAATCCCAAGCCCACGTTTTCTTATGATCCCAGCACTCTTCATTCAACATCACAGTCGGAGCCTTAGAGTGAATGTGGTTATGTTTCCTGCCAAACTTTCACTTTTTTCATTAGCCCTTGGCAGTACTTTGACCCCAAGTTTTTTGCCACTTCCCTAAAACTCTTCCCAACCCGCTCACCGCATCCCGTTCCTGGCTGTGAGATCAGACTTTCTCATAGCTTCCTGGCTGTGAGCCCAGACTCTCTGTTTCTCCTTATTGGACTCTTGGGCTTAATAGTTTGATGAATCTTATATTCTAAGAATTATAAAGTACTGGGACGAAGGGGCAAGTGTTCTGTGGGAAAGTCAGCTAGCATGTTCCCAAAGGTTTCCGTCTAAACTGAACACAGGGCAAGAGATGGCTCAGCAGATAAAGGCACTTTCTGCCAAAGGGGAAGACCTGCATTGAATCCCCAGAACCCTGCAGGTCTGACCGCTGACCTCTGAGCGTACACACACACACACACACACACACACACACACACACACACACAGTCAGGAGTGCATGCACGTGCTAAAGAAATAAAACATAAAAAGAAATAAACAAAATTGGAGCTTTTGGTTCTCTTTAAAATGATGAAAAAGTCCACAAGCAGCATGCTGGGTATTCATGTGTCTCTCATGTCGTCCACAGGGCTCTATTTGTGATGATTACATGGCCACCTTATGCTGTCCTGTTTGCTCTCTGTGCCAAATCAAGAGAGACATTAACAGGAGGAGAGCCATGAATGCTTTCTAAGGAGCTGGAAGGTGAGTCAGTATGGGGCTTGGGAAACAGAATCAGGGGCTGGGTAAATGACTCATTGTTCAGAATAACAAGTCAGTGGTAACAATTCCGTAGATTTCTCGTGCTGTCTCATTATAACTATAATTGGTTTTGATTTTTTTCCTAGTTTGGGCCATGTTTATTAAATAATGGTGAGTTTTATAAACTTATCAGAATTGTTTTCGTCCATTAATGAAGCAACTTAACACTCCGAAGCTACAGAGCACAGTGAACAAAGAAGAAGTTGAAGCTGGGCATGGTTGTGCCTCCTGTAAGCCCAGACTCAGGAGACGGAGGAACCATTGCCCTCAAACCTAGCCTGGCTATGAAATAAGTTCCAAGCTAGTCAGACCTACAAAAGACGATCCCGTCTCGAAATATGAAATGAGGCGTGGGGGAATGGTTCACTGTATAAAGTACTTGCTCTATAAGCATAAGGAATCTGGAGTCCCCGAACCAACATACCAAAGTGTGTGAGTGTATGTGTGAGTGTTAGTTATGTGGAGTATGTGTGTATGAATGAGTATATGTGTGTATGAGTTGTGTGTGCGTGAATGAGTATATGTGAGTGTTATGTCTAGTATGTGTGTGTGAGTATATGTGTTTGAGTGTGAGTTGTGTGTGTGTGTGTGTGTGTGTGTGTGTGTGTGTGTGTTTAAAAGCTGGGCCTAGCAGCCTATAGCCCCAACACAGCTTGTAATACAGGGGAGAGACAAATGAATCCCTGGGCCTCACTGACTAGCAAGTCTAGCCAAAAGAACAAGCCAAAAGGTTAGTAAGATCCTATCTCAAAAAAGAGAGTGGAGAAGTGATTGAGGAAAGATATCTCAGTGTTAACTTGGCCTCTTGTATAGGAAATATACCTGCATGTACACACACACAGAAAGAGAGAGGAGTTTTAAAAAACTGAAAAGACAAAAAAGAAGGCAAAGACATACTTCTGACTCCGACAACATGATGAAGCCGGTAAACAGTTTTGAGATGAGAATTTTAAAATACATAGAAGGTTAAAAAGCAAGAGTGACATGGTCTGTAATCTTTGGGTGACTCAAGTTACAAAAATCTATTTACTACTAAAGATGAGGTTTAACACATAAGGTCATCAGCTGTGCAAGAGGGCACACATGTCCACTAAAAGTGTACCCCTAATTATGTTAAAGTGTTGATAAATATTAATAATTTTTCCAATTTTATTTTAAATGATATGTATGTGTATGCATGTACACATATTTGCACGAAGGTGCCTAACGTGGGTGCTGGAAACCAAACTTGAGCCATGTTTAGCAGCAGGTGCTCTTTAACGTAGGTGCTCTTAACTGCTGAGCCACCTCCTCAGCCCCTAGAAACTCATTCCTCTGCATAGGTAGTCTACCTGTCCTGCTCGTTCCGCGCCTTCCCACACTTGACAGAATAGTCATGTGTGGTCGCACTTGGTGCAAATGCTGCTGCAAATACAAAGGCCATTGTGCATTCTAAATAAGTGACCATTTAACCTAAGAACAAATACGAACAAAAAGATCTTGCTGAAGGAAATGTCCTTTGAGAGGGATAGAGAGAGAAGGTGACAGTATTTGGAAATGTTGTATGGCATTTCTTCATCTGTAATTCAGCCGAGTCTCCTGCCAGCTGACTTTTCTCAGGATTGGCTACATAGGTTAACAGAGATAACTAAGTATTTGCATAGATTTATTTTATTTTGTGTGTGTGTGTGTGTGTGAGAGAGAGAGAGAGAGAGAGAGAGAGAGTGTGAGTGTGAGTGTGAGTGTGTTGCATGTGTATGCAGGTACCTGCAGAGCCCAGAAGATGGCATCCGATTTCCTGGAGCTGAAGTTCCAGGCACTTGCCAGCCACTGTCTTGCAGTGTGTGTGTGTGTGTGTGTGTGTGTGTGTGTGTGTGACACACACCTGGTGCCTTTGGAGGTCAGAAGAGGGAATTGGATCACCTGAAACTGTAGTTACAGGTGGTTGTGAGCCACCAAATCCACCAAATTTCTTCTCTGCAAGAACAAATGCTATTGACTGCAGGGCTCTCCCTTCAGCATCCCCTATAAATAATCCTGGAAGGAGGCATAAGACACTGTTCATTTGTTTAGCAAATAATATATTATGTATTTAGTGTTTTAGAGACAAATCAAAGATAAAGCAGTTCACTGTCCTCGAAGCTTTTATTCTCAAAAGAGAAGCCTACGCAGAACATGGCATTTGATGAGTGCATTACACTGAGTGCCAGAGGATGGTCATGTTTGTGAGATGAGGGAAGGACAATTCCTTGGTTTGGGTTCTAAAGAAGTGTGTCCTTAGTTCACCGGAAGTAGGCAGAACTGCCTGTCACAGGATGGAAGGCAGGTTGGCGGCAGGTGTGGACGAAGGCAGGATGCAGCAGCTCAGCTCTTACTTCCGCTAAGCCCCAGGGGAAAGAAGCATCAGTTCTCAGATCCCTCAGGAAAGAGTGTGAAGAAAGCTCCCCACAGAGCAACAGAATCCTCTCATGCACGGAAAGAGCAACCCAAGGCAACCCTGAGGATGGGGTCAAGCTAAAAACCTCTGACCTCAATAGCTGCCCTCCTGGGCCTGCCCCAGCCAAACCAGCCAGATGGAGGAGAGAGGGTGGATTGCTCTGGCTCACAGGCCAGCCTCAGGGACTTATAGTAGGGTGGACACACGTGATTAGAATGAATAAAAATAGAAGGCAGTTTCTAATCAAGCAACTGCAGTGAAACTATGGAGGGGAAAAAAAAAATATATATATATATATATATGGAAAAATCATCCATATTTATGGGCTTAGGGCCAATTTGACTGAAACATGAAATAACAGATTTTTTTTAAAGTGAATTTGTGCCTCAGCATGCTAGGTTAATGCTTGGTAAGCATGGGGAAATTGTCAGGAGATTTTGAGTAAGTAGAGCTTTACTTGAGAAAAACAATAACAGTATCTAATACAGTGCACAGGACAAAGGCCAGAAACAAAGAGGCGAGGACACTGTAACACAGTTAAATAAATACAATGTCCACATAGAGATCACAGCTGTCATCCTAAAAGGAGTAAGAGTTTATTCTGAAGCCATTAGGAGCAACCACGGCCAAGGAACACAGATTTAAGTTACCCCAAATTCCATGTTCCAACACAGAAGCATTTCACACTACAAAGAAAGTCATAACTCAAGGCAGCTTCGAAAACGTTAGTGAGTACAGCAGACAGGTGGTACAACGGGGTGCGGGGAGCTGGTTTATGGGCCCAAGATGTTATCTGACGACATTCTTAGTTCTTGAACTGGTGGAAGCCAGTGTTCTGCTAAGTCAGTAGCTTCCAAGAGGTTTTCTTAAAATTTATCACCACAGATACTAGTTCAGATACAGCCTGGGGTAAGAAATGGCTGTTTCGGAAGCTAACACTAGCCCAAGATAAAATAATTAACCTCTGAAACCTACAAAATTCCAGTCTCCCCACAGACCTGAAATTCTGATCGGCCCACCAGTCTCTGCAGACACTGACTCCTTTCAGGAGGGTTTTTTTGTTCACAGCCAGACACAGCTTTTTTCCCCCCAAAAGTTTTCACCGTCAACATGAACACTGTGAACAGTGCAGCCCAGTATACATACTAACAGGTCAGCACAGCTGAACTGCTAATCTCTAAGAAACTGTCTGGCAAGCAAAATCTCTTCCGTGGGTCTGGTGGTCAACTTGGATATTCTATGCTAGTCACTGACAATAAAACTGAACCCGGGATTGAGGCTGAGGCCCAGCTGGGAGAGTGCTTGCCAAGGATGCACGAAGCCCGAGTTCAGTTCCTAGTATTTCAGAGACCAGGCACACACCAATACGTGGGAAGCGGGGAGGTAGAGGGAGGAGGATCAGGAGTTCAAGACCAGCCTCAGTTACAGAGTGAGTTTGAGGCCAGCCTGGGCTACATGAGACCCAGTCTCCAAACAAAACAAATTCACTGGGCTAGAGAGAGGTCACAGGTTCCATTCCCAGCACCCACAATGATGACTCACACTATCTAAAACTCCAGTTCCAGGAAGTTTGATGCTCTCTTCTGGCATCCGTGGGCATGAGGCACACATATGCACAGACAGGCATGCAGGCAAAATAGTCATACACATAAAATAATTTAAAATTTTTAGATACAAATATACAAACAAGGAAAGTCTGATACACTATCGGGTGAGAGAACCCCATGGAATATAACATTACCCAGTGCAGTTCGGTGCTTGGGCAGGATCCCGGAACGGACAAGGCAGTTTGGTGAAAATGTGAGGAATCTGGACCAAGTCTGCTCTGGTTAATAATGTGTCCCGCCTGCGGAACTAGTTATTGGGTGGGACTCGAGAGGGACCCTTACCTGAAAGGCAAAACGGGCAAGAAAGAAGAATGGGACCAAGCTAAATCTTGTCAAGGTCCGTTTATTGAAAGCCAAGGTACAGAATATAAACGAGGGAAGAGGGGGGAAGGTGAGCTGTTAGGAGGGAGGAATTCGAGCTGGAATTTGCATTGACTCCAGCTCAAAGGTGGGGGGCTGTTAGTGGAGCTGTCTGAGGGCTACTATCTTGCAAATTCCCTCAGTAAGCCTTTTCTGCGCTAATCTATTTCTGTCGTCTTGAGTCAATGTTTTTCTAAGGGAGGAATCCTTTGACTCCCAGCCCAGGGTCGGTCGGAGGGACTCTCTGTCTCTGACTCAGGGTCAGTCTGAGATATTTCTCTGGCTCATAGCTCAGGGTCAGTCTTTGGCAATAATGTGCTGCCGTTGGCTTCGGCAGGAACACCCCATGTTAACCAACAGGGAAACAGCACAGGGTGCTGGGGACCGCTGCATCTCTGTGCAACTTCTCCGTGTTTCTAAAATGATTCTGCAAATTAATGTTTAACGAAAAATAAAAAAGTAGATCAAGAGACTCAGAGACTGTTTTTGTGCTTCCCTCACAGGCGAGAGCACTCGCTGGAGCAGCTGAATCCAGCACATACCTCCTCAGCCCAAGTCCTTCCAAATCTGTGCAGCTGAGATGCGATGGGTGCGCTTAGTGACAAGATGCTGACGTTTTAAAAATCGGGCCTTCTAATGTATTTTAAATGGCTGCGGCTCCTCGACTTGGTTTCTCCTTGCTTCTGCGTCATCAAATATTCCAGCTTATAAATTTTTTACATTTTAAGCATAAACCAAATAAAAGGTTTTGCTAAGAAGATTGTTTGTGTGTGGTGCTGGGGATTAATTCAAGTTAGGGCCTCCTACATGCTAAGTAATCACCACACCTTTTAGCCCTACCTACACTTTTTTTATGCATGTTTGCCTTCACTCAAATGCTTTTGTCACCAATTACTTTTAAGGGTTCCATCTTGTGTCCTCCCCTCTCCCCCATGGCTCAGCGTCTGGATAGCAGGCTTTCATCATCTGCAGGGCAGCACTCTGATCCAGGGAGCTTGAGGTGGGGTGTGAAAGCAGCAAGCTACAGATAGACAAGGAACTATCCCAAGCCATGGGACACTCTCATCCACCCCTGTTGCTTATCAGCGTGTATACTGACACAACAAGACTATGCCCGGTCTGGCTTTCAGCTGAATGCTGGAGAGGTTTGTGGAATTTCATTTTTCTTTTTTTATCCTAAAAGGATAAAATATGAGGTAATGGGGGCTGGAGAGATGGCTCAGAGGTTAGGAGCACTGGCTGTTCTTTCAAATGGTCCTGAGTTCAATTCCCAGCAACCACATGGTGGCTCATAATGATCTATAATAAGATCTGGTGCCTTCTTCTTGCCTGCAGGCAGAATGCTGTGTAAATAATAAATAAATAAATCTTTTTTTAAAATGAGGTAGTGATGTAGAAGAAACTCAAAGCAATACAATTGGTATAAAGGATTTACTAATAGATTTACTTAAGAGACATTAAATCACACAAAGAAGAATTGAGCTAAGGAAGTGATGCCACCGAACACCAAAATACCTCAGAGATAACCAGTATGCTAACGTGGCCTGTTACAGAGAAGCAAAATTTGTGATGTGAGGACACAAATGTTTGTCTCCAAAGAACCTGTGTAGGGACATTTTAAAGAATTCTGGAATTTTGATTTCTTTAAAAACACACACACACACATATTGCAAGAATGTGTTTTCGTTTTAAATCCCAGATGTAGGAATATGGAGCTGCTTCAGACTGTCCACAGCAGCTGACTATGATTTGCCTCGTCCTCTAGCAGAGGCCTGGTTTTGACAGCTGCAGATAATTTCTGCAATTGTGTGACCTTAGAAATTTTGGGATCTTTTCAGAGGGTACATAAAAGGGAGAGTACCAAGAGGCAGGGTTGGTCAGTTAGGAAGAAGAAAAAGAAGAAAAGAAATTAGATTCAGGAATCACTCTCCCCTCTCCTAGTGTTAGGAGATGAAACGGGGCTGGGGGTGGGGGAGGGGAGCAGGATGCAGAGCATATAAAGGGTGGGGAAAAGAAGAACCTACAAAGTAGCAAAGACGAACTACAACCCTGCATCTAAAAGGCAGCTCAGGGGGGCAGCACAGGGTCACAATCACCATTCATTTTTGTTCTGCCATTAAGGCCCCCATGCTCTTAATCAGGAAAGCATAATCCTGCTGGCTGGGTGTGCCAAATGTGTAATAACTATTCGAAAAGAACAATACTCGCTTACATAAGAGATAAATATTCAAGCCAGGTGTGGTGGCGCACGCCTGTAATCCCAGCACTTGGATCTCTGTGAGATCCAGGCCAGCCTGATCTAGGGGAGCCGAGGATACACAGAGAAACCTTGTCTCTGAAAAAAAAAAAGAAAGAAAGAAAAGACATAACAGGGCACGATGCACTCCTGTAATCTCAGCACTCAGGGAGGCAGAGTTAGTCAGATCACTGTAAGTTAAAAAGACAAAGAAAAGGAAAAAAAAATTCTGGTAACACCTTTGCTATGTAATTCTCCCCATCTTTCCAAGTGACCAGTGACCAGATTTGCATTCTCCTGTTTCTATTTAAGTCGCTCAAAGCATAAACTAGGGTTGGGACACAGAAGAGATTTAAAGATGACAGTGTATGTAAATTGCCTAAGCCTAACATGTATAAAAGTAAAATCTTTTATTCAAGGCCAGCTCTTCTATGGGTGTTAGCCAAAGTCAGCATGGACTTTAGTAGAGGGCTTTGTCCTTATTTCCTGAGAGCTCGGAGTGACTGCTTGAGGGGAAGGAGATAATTTCTGTAGCAGTAATAATAAAGTTTTCGTTATCAAAGTCAATGACCTGGCTTTGGTTAAATGTTGATGGAAACATGTGTAAGACAATTTTTTTAATATATATCCTGGATATTAGCCCTCTGTCAGATATAGCATTGGCAAATATATGTAGGGTTTTTATTATTATTATTATTATTATTATTATTATTATTATTACTTACATTTTATTAACTCTGTATGCCAGCTGTATCCCGTTCCCTCATCCCCTCCCAAGCCCTCCTTCCCTCCCTCCCTCATCTCCTCCCTGCCCCTTTCCAAGTCCACTGATTGGGGAGGACCTCCTCCACTTTCATCTGACCCTGTTTTATCAGGTATCTTCAGGACTGGCTGCAAAGTCCTCCTCTGTGGCCTAGCAGGACTGCTCCTCCCTTGGGGGGTGGGGAGGTCAAAGAGCCTGCCATTTAGTTCCTGTCAGAAATAGTCCCTGTTCCCCTTCCTATGGGAAACCAGTTGGTTACTGAGCTACCATGGGCTTCATCCGAGCAAAGGTTCTAGGTTATATCCATATATGGTTCTTGGTGGAGTGTCAATCTCAGAAAAGACCCCTGTGCCCAGATATATTTGGTCCTTGTGGAGCTCCTATCCTTTCCACCTCATACTAACTCCCCTTCTTTCATATGATTCCCTGTACTCTGCTGAAGGTTTGGTTATGAGTCTTAGTATCTGCTTTGATACACTGCTAGGTAGAGTCTTTCAAGAGGCTTCTGAGGTAGGCTCCTGTCTTGTTTTCTTACTTGTTTTCTTCTACATCCAATGCACCTCCCATTTGTCTTTCTAAGTGAGGATTGATCATCTTACCCCGGGTCCTCTTTCTTGTTTATCTTCTTTCAGTGTATAGATTTCATTATGTTTATCATATCTTATAGGACTATATGCGTGAGTATATATGTGTGTATATATGTGTGTCTTTCTCTTTCTGGGATACCTCACTCAGAATAATCTTTTCTAGATCCCACTATTTGCCTGCAAATGTCATGATTTCCTCATTTTTGATTGCTGAGTAGTATTGCATTGTGTAAAAATTCCACAATTTCTGTATCCATTCCTCCGTTGAGGAACATCTGGGTTGTTTCCAGGTTCTGGCTATTACAAATAAAGCTGCTACAAACATGGTTGAGCAAATGTCCTTGTTGTGTACTTGAGCAAATTTTGGGTATATGCCTACGAGTGGTATAGCTGGGTCCTAATTGTCTGAGAAAGCGCCAGATTGACTTCCAAAGTGGTTGTACCAGTTTACATTCCCATCAACAATTGAGGAGGGTTCCCCTTTCTCCACAACCTCTCCAGCATGTGTTGTCACTTGAATTTTTGATCTTAGCCATTCTGATGGGTGTAAGGTGAAATCTCAGGGTCGTTTTGATTTGCATCTCCCCGATGGCTAAGGATGTTGAGCATCTCTTTAAGTGTTTCTGCCATTCTATATTCCTTTACACAGAATTCTCTGTTTAGCTCTGTACCCCATTTTTAATTGGATTGCTTGATTTGTTGCTTTTTAACTTCTTTAGTTCTTTATATATAGTGGATATCAGCCCTCTGTCAGAAACAATTTTTTTATCCTACTTGATTTATCTGTCCTGGATTCTTTTTTAAGTAGCAGAGCTGAATTTTCATAATTTATTTATTTTTTATTTCATGTGTTTTGACTGTATGCAAATCTTGTCAGGGTGTTGGATCCCCTGGAAGAGGAGTTACAGATAGCGGTGAGCTGCCCTGTGGGTGCTGGGAATTGAACCTGAGTCCTCTGGAAAAGGCAGCCAGTGTCTTTTAACCCCTGAGCCATCTTCTCCATCCCCTCTGTCCTGAATCTTCTTTGTAGTTTCTGCTAATCATGCTTTGTTTGCTAGGGTTAGGGAGGAAGATCAAGTCATCCAACTAGCAGATTCACCGAGAAACCAGTGAGATAAAATCAAGGCACGGGTACTTCGCCCTTCCTCTCCTGCTCTGGAGCAGTGAACTTTACCGGTCTCTGCTGCTCCACTCACACCAAATGTTCCCGCAGAAATTCACCCACTGACAGCTTCCGCTGCCTTCTGTATGCCACAGAGGACGGGGGGCTGCCGACGGCCACACACCTCCCTGCCACTCTTGAGTTTTCACAACCTCAGCCGTCGGTGCCAGCTGGATCTTTTTTGAACATCATCAGTACCCACCCGTTTGTGTAAATGAACCACAGGCACCACCTGCACACAGAGGTTTTGTTTCATTTCTCTTGCAGTCAAGGGCAAGATCACCTTTCCTGGCCACCACATGGTTTCAGACGTGAACGACGTTCTGATAATCGTTTAAGAGGTTCTGATCAAAGAACCATGTCAACTGCAAAGAAAAAGTTGTTTGTTTTTTTTTTTTCTTTCTTCAAAATGTGGATAAATATTTCTTTCTGGTCATATTACATAGCTAGAGATTATGGGATGAATGTTAAGTAGGAGTGTTTAGATTAGACACCTTGTGGGGGTGGGGAGTGGCACCCGACTTTCATCCCAGCACTGGGAAGGCAGACACAGGCAGATCTCTGAGTTCAAGTCCAGTGAGTTCCAGGAAAGCCAAGGCTACGCAGAGAAAAACCCTGTCTTTAAAAACCAAGAGAAAGAGAGAGAGAGAGAGAGAACATCGTTGCCTAGTTCTCATACAGAGAAATGGATAGTCTTTTCCTATTAAATGTACAATCAGATATACATTTTTGTCAACATCCTTCACCAAGATGAGGGGTCCACCTCTCCCCCTAAATTCCTGATGCTTACCATGAAAGAGCTAGATATCTGGCGCTTCTTCCGAACCCAGTGATGGCGTGGGTCATATTAGTCAGCTCTGAATGCTGGTGTAGCCCTGCATACCTGGAATAAGGTTGTAGTGGCAGTTGCTTCTCTGGTGTTGGGTTTGACTTGCTACTTGAGCAGATAGGTATTCCTGTCCTAAATTAAAATTTAAAAAAAAAAATACTTTTTGATAGTGGTTTTCATG